TGTTACTAGTGCTGTTTCCAGTAACTATGTACTAAACCATGTCTAAAACTGTCTGGCCGACGTAAAACCGCTGGCATTCTGTAAGCTAAATGTTAGCTTTAGTGGTGGCATTGGGACAAAGACGTAGGCTGTGCAGCGCCACTGCGTAGCCATAGCGTTATCATGGTCCAAGACACAAGAGAAAGTTCATAGCGTTTCCTGATATAGGCTGGTGAGAGAGTGGCCGACCGGCGCCTGTCGTTCCTGGGCTTTTCGATAACCGAGTTTTCGTTCAAATTTCTCTCCGTTGCGCCCGCGTTTTTGGTACGACGCCGTTTTGACAGCTGAAGCTTATATCGGCGATTCTATCACCCGCACCGCCTGCCCCTTTATTATGTCTGTATATTTAAACCTCTACAAAACAGACCTCGCAGTCCGTGAGTGATTCGGCAAAAATTTTTACACTGCGTGATCGAAAAAAAAAAACGGCGCTACGACGACTTCGTAGACATTCCTTCAGCCCTGTCGAGCTGTCACCTTAACGATATCGTTTGTTTTTGTTTCAAGCCCACAGCAAGAACACTCTTTTCACATTTTCGCCCTCTTCCGGGCCCCACTGTCTGACAGGTTTGATGGCACAGCTCTTGCGGAATAACCCTCTTTGTTTTGTTTTGTTTTTGTCCTTTCTGCAAACATAGAGCTCATCGTACCTCAATACACCGGTTCTTTTTGTTGCCATGTATGCATCTCATTCTGTTGTTTTTACTGCCATGTCACATCTTTACTGCCATGTCTGCAATTATCGCTAGATGTCGGCGACGTACAAACTGTGTGGAGAAAAGGGTCATAGGTCCGGTTCGGTTCAAATAAATAACAGCTCTTCCAAGCGCGTTTGTAAATCACGCTTCTCCACAGTAATACTCTTTATGTAAAAAAGTCTGCTTCTCGCGTACCTAGCGTTCAAAGGCGAATTTATTGCGTCGTGCCATTTGTAGTACTTCACCAGCGAAACGTCACAGGGGTGAACTTAACCTTTAACGTAATAAAGGATACCGTAACAATCAAATAACTGAGAATACAACGCATGTGTTGTCTAATTCGACTAGAGTTAGAGTAGAGACGTGGGGGGAAGGTGAGCAAAGGGTATATCAGTAAAAAAAAAAGACTTGTATTAAAGTGTTCCACTATTTAACTCACTTCTCAATACATCTTGGGGTGAAGAAAAAAATACCTGCAGCTTTCTCCCCCATCCCCCGCCATTTTTCAAATATCAGTGATGTGTATTCCGTTATCAGATCAAACGCTGCCTGCTTATTATATATCGAAACTAAATTGTCACCCCAAAATTATCTTAATTGGCAAGGATACCCATTTTAAAATGATTTCTCTCATAATTCACATTTTGTGCGAAATTAGTCCTAACATGCGCAAGCGCTCTAGATATGTTTGTTGGTTACAACATGGTGATTGTTCTGCCAACTTTTTTTCTTTTTTTGCAGCCACATTGAACAGCCTTTATCGCATCAAACTTTCCAGAATATTACAATCTCTGTAGCGACGCTTTCATATATGAAGCGCACACACACACACACACACACACACACACACACACACACACACACACACACACACACACACACACACACACACGCACGCACGCACGCACACACACACGCGCAAAGACAGAGCAACAAAGAAAACGGGACAGCACTTGATAGAGCGAATGGATGCATACCAAATGCTCAATACTGCAAAAGGAGAGTATTTTCATTTTTCGCAATAGTGTATAAAAACAAATGATTCGAGTAAAAACGATAACCGGCTCGCGTATATACAGTCGTGCAGCGTAACCGACCTCTCGGCCGGTCCCCTTTTTTGGGAGTGATAAAGCTTTGATCATCATCATCATCATCAAAATAGACTAACGCAGTTTGAATAAGCATGCTTTTAAGTCAAAGATATTGTTTTTATGTGGGTTCGAATCAAGCAATTGTGCCTAATATATATGAAATGACTATAAAATGAAATATAAGCTAATAATAAATAAGAAAGAAAGGCCTGTCGAAGCGTTATTCTCTTCATGTTCAAGTGCATGTATACTTTTAAAGCCATGACTGCCTAAGCGCATCATCCTTTGGATTAGAATCATGAATCTGCCCTCTCCGTTTACAATTTTTTTAAAGTAGTGTGAGTAGCGGTGACTTTAACGGAAGAGCTAACTAGCACCGCATGTAGCGGCTGCATTTCCAATGGAGGCGGAAATGTCCTAGGCTCGTGTGCTCAGATTTGAGTGCACGTAAAGGAACCCCTGGTGATCGAAATTTCCAGAGTCATCCACTACGGCAATTCTCATAATCAAATGGTGGTTTTGGGGACGTTAAATCCCACAAATCAATTAAATAGCACCACACATCTGTTTTTTGAGTCGGGTTAACTGCTTGTTCCTTATTGGAGTCTTTGAACCCCCGGAGACGCTAAATGAGGAGAATAGACTTGAATAGATGTTTATTTCATGAGCTATACAGATCGTGAGGAGAGAGAGAAAGCAACTGCTTTTAAGCAGCTAGAGAAAGCTCTCACCCTGTGTATCTTCGGACAGCCTTTGGTCACGGACATACTGTGAATATAATACATGAAATATATTATATGTAAATCATAAATACAAATGATTGAAACAGCGAGAATGCACACTATTAACATACAGAAAAGTAGTAAAAAATAGAAAAGAAAACAATACAGTGAATAATTCACACATGAACCTATAAGTATCTTTATACATAAGAAAAATTATGAAACTACTCCGTTTATTTCAGATTGAAAGTAAGAGAAAGGACAAAGCGAAATCAAAAGGTCAGAAAAAGTGGTTGAAAAAAAAAAAGAACGGCCCCGCCGCCGTGGTCAAGTGGCTAAGGTACTCGGCTGCTGACCCGCAAGTCACGCAATCGAATCCCAGCGGTGGCGGCTGCATTTCCGATGGAGGCGGAAATGCTGTAGGCCCATGTGCTCAGATTTGGGCGCACGTTGAAGAACCCAGGTGGTCCAAATATTCCGAGCCCTCCACTACGGCGTCTCTCATAATCATATGATGGTTTTGGTACGTTAAACTCCACATATCAATCAATCAATCATCAAAAATAAAACAAAGCACAGAATTCCCGTTCAATGCAGCATTGCTTAATCTAGTAGAACGCAGTGTAGTCTATAGGTATTTATTGTTCGTAAAAGTAATTGAATATTCTAGTATTGAGATAACACATTCTATCTTTTCCATAGCTTGTCTGCGGAGAGGTACATTCAAGATGCTTAGGGCTATATGTACGCAGGTTTACTTTTAGTTTAGCAAGGGCGCGCAAATTATGACTGCCTTTCTTAATTTCATTTCGCAGTGACTAACTTAGTTTAAAATTGTAGAGGCAATCTAAACTAATTAAGCCATACATCTTAAGTAACGGTCAAGTTTAATGACCTGAAGTAGTGTAAGCAATCACCCTTATTATTTTGTTTTGAATTTTTAAGTTTCAAAATGTTGGTAGAAACGATGGTTCACCCGACAAGAAAGTAGTATTTGTTATAAGACATAAACAAAGAGTTTAGGGAAAATGTCTCATCTCCACTGGCGATGAGTCGCGTTGACGGTAAGAGAGTCCTAATGCACTAGACGCTTTGTTAGCTACATGCTGGGTGTGCGAGTCCCACGACATATGTTGGTTAAGTACTACACCACCAGGTTTGAAATTGTTAACAACTTTAATGGGGCTTAGGTTTAGCAGGAGTGAATTGTGCGGTATGAAGTTCTTGATTTTGCCCAAAATACAACAACTCGCGTTTTGAAAACACTTATAACTAAAACCTTTACACGACGCCCAATCTGCAAGCTTAAGCAGGACTTGATTAGCACGCTGGAATAAGCGGCACTGTCATCGTCGTTGCAAAAAAGCGTTGAGTAATCGGCTAAGATAATATATTAAACATCTGGGTTCACATACGCTATTTCAACAATGTATAAGTTGAGAAGGTGCGATCTTAAAATGCTACATTGTGGCACTGCAGACAAAGTGCTCTTCAATAAAGATAAGCACTGTGTTGTCCATAGAGACATAATGCTTGTAGTGACTGAGATAAGATTGGACAATTTGTCAACCTTTACCACGAATGCCACAGAAGAATAATTCCTAATAAGAATATTTCTATTAGGAGAATAATGGTAAGAACGGGATATTACGTAATAAAGTAACGTGTACCCCCCCCCCCCTTTTTTTTTGTTAATGAGGTGCCCACTAAAGTTCAGTCGGGTTGTGAACCTCAAAGCCACATTACCTTGAAGTCAGTACTACCACGGGCAGGCTAGTAAACGTGCTGACAAAGCACGAAAAGAAGGCTTGAACAGGTTTGCCCAAGTAAGCCTAGAAAAAGAGTGTTTAGTGATGAAGAATTACAATAAATTCAAGTGCAAAGGAGGTATAATCTCTTCCGTAAACAGCACGAACGTACTTTAAGCGGAAAAAAATAAGAAAAAAGCCAACCCAGTAACACGAAAAGGAAACACTCTAATTGAATTAAGGAACAAACGGAAAACCTACCTGTTATACGTGCCTACCAATAAAGAAATCGCGCTCACCAAAGTAAATCGGCCGCGTAAGGCAGAGCGAACCACAATTGAATGAGCGTGCGAAAGACATCAAAGAAAAAAGAAAAGCAAAATAAATATCAAAAGAGGTCGCGCAAAACTCGAGCGCCGCAGACTAATGCCGGCCCGTTCACGCAGTTACGTCCATGCGCGTTTTGCGTTTGTATTCCACGCGCACATTTCCATTATTCCTGGCGAAGTTATTTGCTCGGGGGCACAAAAGAAAGGGGTATTTTCACGGCCGCCGAATTGCTCGCTGAGCTTGCCTAGAGGAAAGCGTGGCTTACCCTACACGCTAGGACGGTGCCTCGCGGTGTCCCCCTTTTTCCATCTCCTGTTCTGGCCAGATTGAAACGGGCGAATAAATCTGCAAAAATGTCTCTTGGTCGGAGAAATGGGAAGGCAGCTCGGATTTGCCGACCAGCCAGACGCGTTCTGGGGTCTGACTAAGCGCCGCACTGTTATGAAGACCAGCTTCATACGTGTGGGACTCGCGAGTAAGTATAAATGTGTATGAGCGAACGAAGAGTGTGTAATAGACGCTGAAAAAGGAGACGGAGATAAGAGAAAAAAAAAAACAGCTTATATTTAGTCGAAAAATTCTCGTGCGTGTTCACAGTATACACTCTCATAGCTGATACTTTCTTGTTGTTTCGTATTTTCACAAGACCGGTTGGTATCGCGAGTCTTACACGCATGCGCAAGGCACAGGTCATTTCTATTTCATAAAAAAGAAAACAATTGAATTTATGAATTTGTATTCACCGGAACCTGGCTGTGCTTGATTGCATAGAGCGAAAACGGAAGGCGTGACGCCATTTCTCGTCTGTGAAAGTTTCACCGAGTTTCGTTTCAATTTTTTTTATTTCTTTCTTCATAGGCAAATAGTATTGTGAAAGACCAAAAACAGGCTGCATCGAAGCTCAGTGTGTGCATACTGGGCTTACTGAGTTTATGATGGGTGCATCATTACGGATGATCAAACTGCTTCACCGTTTAGGCTATGGAATAATTAGTGATTTATATTTAAATGTATGGAACGCATGTAGAAAGAAAAAATTAACAAATAAGACAAACACACGTACGCAGCGCTTCTTACGTATTTCTAAGGGTTATTCGATTAGTCCCATCTTGGATGCACTCTACCTTTGGATGATCCTAGGCTGTGTGCTGCATTTCATTTGTCTTTATTATCCATCACAGAGTGTGCACGTGTGCAGTTTTTGCGAGCCATAAACAGTGTCACTGACTGCTGCTGACATCAGCTTATCTCATGAAACAGATCGCGAATGCGTGACTCTCAAGACCCTCGTAGTCTATACAGCAGCTTGCACTACAGTCATCGACAGATGCCATAAGTTCGGAGGATCCCAAAAGATCTGGAACTGACCTCACTGCACGGACAAATGAGAAGAAAAATGAAGAAGGTAAATGATTTGTTATGTGGGCTAATGAAGAGACATTAATGGTAGTAATCTTCCGCCCACAAATTTCATTTTAGCAGATTGACAGATTTCCTCTTTCTCTACCAGTACATAAAGGATAGATATCTATGCTCACTTGCCTGCTAGCGCGTATTTTATGTTATCCTATGCAGCTGTTTAAAAAAATACACGCCTGAGTAAGAACAATTATATTGCGCAGGTTGGGTACTGCTTTTCCCGGGGAAAAAAGGGTCCAGTGCCTCCCACCGAACAATTTCCCGCTTATTGATTTTCTTATTTTTTGCTACGTTTCTTTCTATTTACGGAGCATATCTTGATTGATTGATTTGTGGGGTTTAACGTACGGAGCATATCTTTTCCTGCAACATTAAGCTGCTCAGCTCACGATGCCGTTTCTCGTACGCCTCAGATTACATTTAGAGCAGTTTCACATCGACTTAAATGAACGTGCTAACGCATCTCGGCGCAATAGGTCCCGTAATTATAAAAATGGGGAGATAGAGAGCGCCCGTTCCGCTTCCTAGGACGATCGTTATGAGAAAGAGTTCATTGGGAGCATATTTAAAAAGCTCAGTAGTATAAGTAATGCGTGAAAAAACTGCATATAAAGGTGGCGAATAAATTAGCCATATCGCACCACCAGGAGTCATAAGCATTTGCTTATTTGCTTAAGAAAATACTGATGACTCCTGCTACCTTATTTGCCTAAGTAAAGAATGGTGTCGTGCAAGTATGAATTCAAAAATGGTAATACGATATGAACGAGGTAGCAGAGCATATATTACGAGAGCGGTAAAAATGGGGATGCAGTGGCGTCTTCAAAAGCAACTTAATGATTGCTCTCCCCCGAGTACTTTCCTTACGCTCCCTTGCTCGCAGCGCTGATGGTTCCGGCCACCCTGCCGCTCCTAGAATGGTTTTAATGAACCGTTTCCAAATGCACATTGAGGAATGAATAGAAGAATTGCGACATGTTGCAATCAGCTGAATCTTACCTATCTCGCTTGCGCGCTTCATGATCGTCGATAGGATCGGAAGGAAATTGAGTGGGGAAATTATACTGACTCTGAGCCACGTACTAGGAAGAGCTAGAGTTTTCTGGCTCAGTTGGGGGGTTTTCGAAAGAAAGTAGAGAAGGAAACAGAAACGTAGAAGGCAGACAGGTTAACGAGAAATGTGTCTGGTTGGATACTCTACACGGGGCAGGAGAGAAGAGAATAGAGAGAAGAAAAGAAGAGGAAGTAACGAAACGAGGCGATGATGAGCGAACGAAATGTTGCGTAAGTGTGGCTTGCGTCGCAATAATCAGAGACGTTCGCACATGCAGACCCACTCTGAAAAGCGATTACTACATTAAAGAGGCAGTGACGTTGGTATTGTGAGCTCATTCTTAACTTATAAAAGTAGCAGAATGAAAGTGTAAGATGAGTTGCAACGTGGTGCAGCGGGTATCAAGGGATGAGAATATCTGCTGCAGCATTCACAGTAGAAGCGTCTTGAAAAAAAATTTTGCCATTTACAAGCTGTGTCCTTGTTCCTTAGCTTCTACTTTAGTTTCTACTTTCCTCCGATTCTATGCGTAAGAATTTGTTTTGGCGCGTCCACGAAGAATGGGATCTGATATACTACTGGAAAAAGAAAGTAAACCATGTGATGAAGTTGTTGCTTTGCGGTGAAGTTTGCCGCACTTTACGCCGCATAGGGCAAGCAATGCCGTGTCTCTACTCCAAACTGTTTAATCAAAAAATAAAAATATTATAGAACACTGCTGCAACCCGTTGCAATGACTCGTACTCAACTCACCCAGTTTTCCGCACTTTTTGAGAAAAAGTAGGCAAGTACAACATAAAGAATGAGCTTCGTTTCCGATAGGAGAACATGATAGCGTAATCGGAAAGTACGTCACCTATTCATTCGCTAGCCCGGCTCCGCTTCTGAGTGGTCACCTAAACCGTTTCACACTACCCTACTAGAGTGACTATTGAAACTACAGTTGCGAAGTGCCTAATACGTCATAATGCCCCTCTTGCGAATTGTTGAAGCACCCATCACACTTCCGTAAGCCCACATGCGCACCTGCGTAGCTGCACACTTAATTAATCCTGCTACTACTGCAGATGATCAATTATGAATTGTTGTTTGGGGCTAGATGGGCCTCCAGGCCACCCTCTCTTTATGCGAATCAAATAGTGAGACGCTTGGTGCTATTTAACGTTTCTGCAACGCAACACCAGATAGGTTAAGCTGACTACTCGCACTATACATGTTACTCTTACCATGTCTTTTAAAGGTGTTCTGCACACCATTCCTTGTCCGGTGGACCAAAAAACTTGGTAGGGTATGCGCCACACGAATGGAGAAGCCTCACTACCGAAAAAAAAAAATGAAATATGGCTTATTCGCGAGAGAGAATACATATCGGTGGTGCAAAAAACTATCATCATCTTGAGCACACTAACTCGGCCGGCAGGCGCTCTCTTCGCCCTCCTGACTCATGGCTCTCAAAATGACTCTTCGCCCTCGCCCTCATGACTCTAAAAACAAGTGGCCAGATTTGCCCGGCGTGGGAGGCAGTAACTGGAATGGGAAGGAGAACGAGTACGAAGGGGAAAGAGGACAGCAGGAGATATAAGAAGAAAGGTAGAAAGAACGAGGAAAAGAGAAGTTCAAAGAAACAAAAAAAACATAAAAGTAATGAAGGACATAAAAATCGAAGGAGAAAAAAAACAGAATGAAGCAGACAATAAAAAGAGATAAAAACAGAGAGCAAGACAGAGAGAGATAAAATCTTCACTCACAATCAACAACGCCAACAACAGAACTTTTGCGCAACGAGTTTTTAAAGGCCAACGCGTCACGAGAAGTATGCTCGCTACCCAGTCAAACTGACTTGCCATTCTTTTGGGCGGACTTTCCTTTTCGGTTGTATGTTTCGTGGTATGCTGAAAAGAAGCGTAGCACGAAATGGTAAGAAGTGGGCGAAATGCGACAGGATCTGTTGCTTATACATCAGGATGCACTAGAACATGCACCAGGAGTCTTTCTGCAAGTTATTTTTGTCAGAAAGGCGTCGACGATCTATTCCAATCACGTAGAGTCAACAAAATCTCAAAAGTTGTTATAGAAACGCTGAATCAAGGCAGTTGTTGCTTTTCAATGTTAGAATTGAGTAGGAAAAAAAAAGCTAATAGCACAACTCCAGGAAGGCAAAAAAAATAAAGATGAACGGCTTCTGGGGAGAAGAAAAAAAGCAGCTCTCAAATACAGATGTGGCCTAACGGGATACCGAAAGCGCGTACGCTAACTTTTAGGCAAGAGGCATCGAATGGCGAGAAAATAAGCGTTAGTTCCGCATGACCCTTCCTACGTGAAGTGATCATACCGGACTCAACGACGTGGTGTAGAAGGCAAGCTACGTCATCTGGACTGAAGGCTACTAACACAAAAGTTTGTCCTGGGGCCTTGGCCGATGATATCACAAACAAGCAAGACCACGAAAGCTCCCTTGTGCTCCTCGAGGACCACCGGACTTCAAGAGCGCCTGTGAACGAACATCGCGAGACCGTACTGTGTAGCCTCATGCTGACTATTTCTACATCTCTTCCGTGCTCTTTTTCTCCATCTCTTTCCTTTCTACTATTTTCCTTTTGCCCCACGTTGAGCGAGGGTAGCCAACAGAGCCAAAGCTTGGTCCCTGTCTTTCCACTCCATTTCTCTTACTTCTACGTGAAGCAGTATACCATTACATTTGATCAAAGTTTATTTCTCTTGTTTTGTTTTTCTCTCGTATTTAGCTTTATGTCTGAATTTTTTCCTTATCAGCTCAAGTTGTGCTCGAGCCTAAATGCTCTCTACAAGATATTTTCGCTTTCTCTGATGCCTGACAAATTGCCTGTGTTTATCATTTTTATTACTGTCGCTGCCAGCTGAAAACGGCTCTCGTGCAAACGACCCAGATTGTCCAGAACGCTGTTGTAACTAACTATATTCCTTTGATGGCTGCTGTGAGAAAACTGTACATCATTTCCAAATCACAAGTCAGGACGAGTACT